CTAATATTTATATAAGATATTGTTATTTTCTTCATAATCAACTTTTTAAGTAATATCTCCAGTAAGCGCCTTTGTAAATTTAGTAAAAATAATTTTAGTTGAAATATAATTCAAACAACTATTAAAAATAAGGATTTCTTTGGACGTAAATTGGAAACCCATGACCGCCAAGCCTGGAAATATGATCACCATATTTAATTGTCAGTTTTAAATACGTTTGCATTTGATCTAATACTTAATACTATTTTATCAAATTGTACAAAATTTCAAAATAATATTACTTAGGTATTGCATAACATTTAAATACGCTTTGAAACACGTTAGTTTATTTGCCTATTATAATTATCTGAACTATCCCATTATGATTTCATTAATACAAATAACATTATCTTCAGTAATTTACGTCGAAATAATTGTTGTAAGTAAATAAATTATTAAAACAAAGTAAAGTTTGCTTTTAACGCGCCTTTAAGTAGATGTCTCAAGGTAGTAAATGTCATAAGAAATATGCATGAAATGCGAGTTAATAATTTGGAGAAATTTAAATGCGCTTATCTAGTTAACAATTGTTATTTGTTTTTTGTTTTTAATTTTTGATAAATTGAAAATAAAATTGATACTGCGATATTTATTAATAATGGCTTCAAACTATAACCAAGGTAAATCTTATGCGCTTATAGATAGAATAATACAATCTGAAATTTCATATAAACATTTCGAACACAGTAGAAATTTGTTCAGCACAGTTTTGGTTTAATTTTTGAAAACTTCACTTTGACATTTTACGCTAAATAGCTTTAGTTGAGATATATTTTTATAATATGTTTTGTTCGTCACACGAGTTAGTCATTATAAGAGGTGTCTTTTAAGTTTACCTATATAGAAATTCTTCAATACCTAAAAAGATATTTACATTAAATGTTTTGAGCTTCTTTCAGAATTGATTTATGTTAAAAATTCTGAGAATTTGTAAATAATATATATTATATTATTTCAGAGCAATCAGTGACAGCGCAGAATCTCAACGAAGAACAGTTCAGTGAGATCAGTTTGGATTCTGATAACCAGGATAACGCTCCTATATCGACCCAAGAGGAAACGAAAAGTCCGCTTCTTGATCTGGACTCGACCAATGATTCTCCGATTCAACCAGCCAGACCATCTTCTACCAACAGCAATAGTGCATTTAGTCAAGTGACAAATCAAGCCTCGCAACTAAGTGCCCAACTGTCGCAATTGCCATCAGTGGCATCTTCAGTTTTATCGTCGTTTTCAAACATTCTTGGAAGGGGCTCAGGCAGTCCTGCCAATAACCAGCCTAAACAACCAGACGCATACAAATCACCACTCGATAATTTAGGAGTGGATTCAGGCAACCAACAGTAAGTCGAGATTGTTCTGTAATGATGTTCATGATAAAATATATTTAAAACTAGTGCATGGGATTTTTAAAAATTTCGTGAAAAAATTAGAAAAATCCATTTTTTTTGAAAATTTCAACATTTTTTGAAAACTTTGAAACTTTTTGAAAATTTTAATTTTTTTGATCCTTACTGTCAAAATAGATGAAACCCATATAAATGGAAACAAAATTGGTACTTATTATTGAAATCTCTATAAAATAACTGATAATTTTATGTGCATATGTCTAATGATCATTGTTGACTTCCAAATGGCATTTTTTTGAATTTCTGAACTACAAAACCACTACATAGAAATTTAACCAATTCTTTATCACATCAATACAACTTGTATTGATGTGATAAAGAATTGGTTAAATTTCTATGTAGTGGTTTTGTAGTTCAGAAATTCAAAAAAACGCCATTTGGCAGTCAACAATGATCATTAGACATATGCACATAAAATTATCAGATATTTTATAGAGATTTCAATAATGTATTATACAAGTGATGTGTATTTTAAATCATTCAAATCAGATGCTCCCTCAAAAACTTAATTTCTATTTTCCGGCTGGACCAATCTTAGCCAAAAACTAATCAGCACGTCACTTTATCAATAGGAATCAAATGCTTCAAATCAAATAATTCAAATCGGTTGATACGTGCTTCCGAAAACGTGAACGAAATATTGTATCCACATGCATAAACGCACATCAATTTTTTCTAAGGTACACGTGCTTCCAAATTGATCAGAAGACAGCTGGAAAATCCAAGAACAGCTAGGAATTTCTAAATATTTTGTCTTTCTTGTAGAAGCTTAGACTTCATTTCTTAGAGAATTTTCTACAACTGATCTCTTTTCTTAAAGTGTAATATGATTAGACTAATCTATCAATGCTCAACGTAGTATTTATGTCCTGTATGAGTTTGAAGCTGTTCTATTCATATTGTCAAAAAGCTATGCATTTGAGGGCAATTCTTAATGAAATCTTTATTAACAAATGTTTAAACGCAAACGAACAGAAGAATCACAATTTGTCAACTGACACAAAAATAACAATGGCGTTTCTTAGTAACCAAGATAAAACAATTGACAACGCTAAATTTGAGACGACAGTAGGATCCCTTCTGAACGCGAATTTTGTTCTGACACAATAGGCCCTGTTAATCACGGACTGTGTAGTATAAGATTATTGAATTAGTTTAATTAAATCATAATGTTGTTAAGTAGAATTAAACGGTAAGTTTTAACGTAAGCGGTATGGCATACACACACATATATCAATTCCGACTAAAAGCTTATGTTTGTCACCATATAAATGGTTTGGTGTAAACACCAAGAAAATTGTCAAATAGCTTAATTGTTGATCTTCGTCCATTTAAATATGATAGAAAGTCGTAAATATCTATTATTTGTATTGTTTATGCTTTTACTATTGTATTATTTATCCCCCTAGTTAATTTATAGTGTGTTAAATTTTTTTTTTGACAGCCAATTGCTGTTTGCCATTAGAGGTTAATCATCCGTCAATGATATTATACAATCGTACAGAAAACTAATCATTTCGATTCCAATATTTTGGGATAAGTCGAATTTAATGCTAAATTAATGCAATGAAAATGTTCAATTTTCTTTATAATTATCTTGAAAGCAAAATAGCACTTAAGCCAGTCAGTAGTCAAAACTTTTTGAACACAACATTTTCAGATATTTGATGGGTAGGGTGGAAATGCGGGACTGTCCCGGCCAAACCGGTACTTCTGGTCACCTTAACTTATGCCAATTATGACCATTATAATTATAATGCTTACATTTCACTTTCATCATACTCACTGATGGTGACATAAAATTATATCTTGAAACGTATGGAAAAATAAATCTCTAAAAAAATTATTTGTATTTGTATATATATATATATATATATATATATATATATATATATATGTGAATATATATGAAGTTTAACTTATTTTTATTATTGAATACTCTTTATTACATTACAGAAGCCCCGTGCCTTTGTTATCAGCTAATCCATCAGCATTAACTGGCATAGATCAAAATAGGCCGCCTAGTACTTCAGGAGTAGTACCACCGCCAGTACCATTATTTCCGCCTGGGCAATGCTCTCAATCTAACAATCAGAAACCTCCACGTATGTTGCTTCACATCTTGATATAATATATTTAGTTGTATTGCTACTTATATATTTGCTACTTATAATTGATTTCTTATTTCATTGTTTATTTATATATATATTTTTGTATTCCAGCTGTGGGAAATACTTTTCGCTTAGGGGGAATCAAAAAGAAAACGTATGCCCAAATCCCAGGTTTGAATACATCGCACGTGCAACAATTAGTTGACGCTCCCTTGCAATCTAATTCAGTATTACCAAATTCCTCGCAGTCACTTCCTACTAATTTTTTAAATCCAGATACGATACCTTCTAGTTCCGTTCCTTCACCAGGCGCATTTTCTCAATCCTCTGAAGTTGCCTCAGTCCAACCTGCTAATTTTTTTCAACCTTCCCAATACATTTCTTCTCCTACTGATAATAATCAACTCGAGGCACTACAAACTTCTCAAAAATTTCCTGACATTCCAAAAGTCCAACAAGAACAAGCTATTACAAACCCGTCATTTTATGCACCGCCTAGTTCTACTAATCAATCTCAGTCTTTTACTTTAAACACCGGTTTACCTCCGCCACCAATATCTAGTATTCCACAAACTACACCCGTTTCTTCCTTTTTTAATCCTACACCGCAATCAACATATGCTTCGAAAATTGTTCCCACACAGACGATACCTTCACAATATGAACCGCCATTGTCACTAAATCAGAATACTTATAATAGTTTTTCTTCACCTATACCGTTTATTTCAAGTGCAGCTCATAAAGAAAACAGCCCAATTCCTTCTAGCATATCTCATTTTCAATCACCTAATAACTTGCAGCACACCGATGCCAGTCAACAACAACTGACTTGCAATTTACCTAAATCTAATTATCCACAAGCGGGAAGTTATTCTTCTACATCTAATGTAACAGTTTTTAATCCAGCGTTAGCTGCTAACACATGTACAACAAGCGAAGTGCCTAATATTTCTTCCGCACCTCCAAATATCTTACCACCTCCTCCTACAAAATCTTCTCTAAATGCGAAAATAGACAGTAATTTACCATCAAATACTCAAACCTCTATTCCTGGCCGAAATCCTTTCAGTATTCACTCGATCTCCAAAAATCGTGCGCCTCCATCGATTCCTACAGCGGATAGTATTGCATTTTTCAATCCCAACCTTGTGAAACATGAGACAGAATTAAAGAATTCACAAAAGGTTTCAATTAATACATCTGAACTGTATAATATTTCGGCACATAATGCTCCAATTGTTGTATCTGCACGAGAATATTGTCCAGGCAGTAAAGTTGAATCGTCATCGGTAAGACCTGTTGAAAATGCCCCTCCAGTGAGTGACGTAGCACCATTTCTGACAGTGTCTCCTGAATCAGAGCAAAGCGTTCTACGATCTTTGGCGCCAGTTAATACTACCAAACCACCAGTCTCATCTTTTTTCCCACCAACTTCTAAAGAACAAGTGATTAATGCTGTGAATTTGGTTCAAAATCCTCCACAATCGCAAGATAATAGCAGAAAAAGTAGCTATCAAGAATCTCAAAGTGCTAGTTCATATTTTAATCAAGCTGCGGACATTAATAAGTTTAACGATGTGTCTAACAAAAATGCAGTAACTTCGAATAATCATGCGGCTCCGACAATACCTCAATCCTTCTTCAACATTGCGAGCAACGTTAATAGCACTAATGTAACAAATCAACAGCCGCATTATACAGCTGGTCAACAGCCGCCCGTACCGAAACCTAACATTACACAGTCGTGCCGAATTACATCGGTGCCCCCGATTAGGACTACCGCTTTCGCTTCGACCAGTTTTGGAAATATGGAAAATACGCCGCCAACCGAAGCACCGGTATGAATTATCTGTTGTTTTATAGCCACAGTTTATTGTCCGATAATTAATTAAAATTGTTTATATGTTAGGTATATGAGCCAGTAACTCATCACTGGTTTCATAAAAGAGAAGTTGACAGTAAAGTTATATGGACACCTTTTTCACAAATTGATTCAGCTGCGCTTGAAAAAGCCTTTCTATCAGGTAATCAACGAAACTTTTTTTCAAATCATAAAATATTTGAATGGACGTTAAATTTAGACAATCAGATAGAAGACTTTTTATAATTAGGAAGCTAAATAATTGTCCTAATTACAATATCTTTAAATCTAATAAATTTATCATAGTCTTATTCTAGATAAGTCAATTTCCGTTGCATTCAATTTGAGAAATTTAATCAACAAATTTTAATTATTTTGTTTCCAGGAAGTAGGAATGTGACAGTTGCAACAGATGGAGGTCGTTACGATGTAAATGTTACTGAACGAACCAGGTCGCCCGTATATTGGCCAGGCGAAGTCACTAACGTGCGAAGGTGCTCGTGGTTCTTTAAAGCTATCGATTCCAGATTTATGCCCTATGAAGAGAATATTGCTGATTTACTGGAGGTGATTAATAAATATACTATTATTCAAGCTTGTGTGAATCTATCATTTATTCAATAGATTCTTGAAAATTTTAATAAAGCTTAGGTACTTGTTAACTATATATATGAAGGAGAAGTTTATGTTTTCACAAAAAAATCTGAATTGCTAATTTTGTTTTCTCGACGTTTCAAGTCATTCTTGATTGTTTTAAACCAAATTTGGAAAGTGCAATTTTTTTCATAATTTTTTGCATTTTCGTAAAAAATTCTGATCTGACTTTGAAAACTCAAAAACTGTTCTAAAGATAATTTGGAAATCATGTTAAGTACCTTTTGGCAAAGATCGGTCGTGTTGTTTCCTCGTAATTGATTATTAAAATTTTAATGAATCTTTGTCTGGCGATAGGGTTCATCAATATTGATCTTAACTAGTCTTAACGAGTATACTAAAATATACTTACTTAAAGTTTAGATGAAGTATTAAGTTTGGATTGAGGGGCATGTTCGTTTTCAATAATGTTTTGAAATTTTATCCAATATTTCTCTACAGCAACTCTTTATACTTATAAATTAATATATTGATATCTTATTGATTAAGTCGATTATTTACACATTTCAGGAAGTATATGCAACTTTGCTTAAAACAAAATGCTCCTAGGTATAGCATTATTTAAGTTTGTTTGCATCAATAATTTATTCAGTTGCTTGGTATTGATTTTTTGTATTAAAAAATTTATATTTATATGATAAAAATGATAAGTTTCATCTTATGTCTAAATGTGAGTTTTTGTTATTATTTCAGGCCGAATATCGAAATTGCACGGAACTCAATTCATGGCATCGTCGAATTGAACTACCTTACGATGAATCCGTAATGCTACATGGTCCTACTGTTCTAGTACATTTTTTGCGAAGTGCAGAACCTCAAGATACTTGGACAAACGGAGCTCAAACAGCTAACAGACCTCGAATTGTTAAAAGAGGTGTATTGGATTTCGAATTGGACAAAGGGGAACCAACAAAAGTTGATCATCTATTGTTCCTTGTACATGGAATAGGATCAGTTTGTGATCTGAAATTCAGAACTGTTGAAGAAGTCGGTATGTTTCTAGAATAAATTACTTTTAACTAATCATTTTTTATATCAAACACTAAGTTTCTTTATCTGATTTTACTCCACTCAATATTGATGATAGTTATATCAAATAATTTAGTATTGAACTTGTTTTTTTCACTAATATTAATTGATGCTTATTGTTAGTGTTAATATATGATAATCTTTAATATAACTTGAAGATACCCTTATTTATCAAAATTATTATTTTAGTTGACGAGTTTCGCGGAATATCATTACAACTGGTACAATCCCACTATCGATCAGCTTGTGAGAGTGGACTTGTAAATCGAATAGAAGTTCTTCCTGTCAGTTGGCATGGCTCGCTTCACTCTTCAGAAACCGGAATTGATGATAAATTGAAAGCAATCACTTTAGAATCTATTCCAAAACTGAGAGAGTTTACTAATGGCACTCTACTCGATGTTCTGTTCTACACCAGCCCTGTATTTTGTCAGACTATCATGCAAACTGTGGGCAACGAGCTAAACAGACTATATTCTTTGTTTTTGCAAAGAAATCCTGGCTATAATGGAGGTGTTTCCTTAGGTGGTCATAGTTTGGGGTCATTGATTTTGTTTGATCTCTTATGTCACCAAACTCCGCCAGAAGAATCTGTGAAAGAAAATCATAGTACTGATTCTGAAATGGAATCACATGTAAGTTATGATAAAACTGTATAATCAGATCTATTTAAAAAAATCAATAAATTCAAATGAGTATTCTCCATAAGTCATTTACGGAAACTCAATAACACTTTTTGGTATTTTTAGTTTGTGTACTCATAGGATTTATATGAAATAAAATGAATATCATTATTTTATCTGAATTATAAAATCTTCTCAGAAACTCATATTTTTTAGTACTGTATAAACAATTTTAGCAGTTGTGTTAAAATTTTCTTCATTTTGAAATATTGAATTCTAATAAACTACAAAAATAGATGGAGATGCATTTAGTATGATATAAATATGTAATATATTAAAATATATATCAGTGTATATATTATAAAATGCTTTGTTTTACAGGAAGATGATAAGGTTGCGCCTTTAAATGAAAGGAAACCTTTAAAGAGAGCACTTTCTAAGCGAATTAACTATGTTATTGGCCATGCAGGAACAGGGCAACCCTTCATAAAATATCCACAATTATCTTTTCATCCTAATACATTTTTTGCTCTTGGATCACCTTTAGGTAATAATGGAAACATTAGTCATAAATAACTAACTTGTTTGCGTGTACAGCCTAATTATTTACATATCGATCAGTGCTAATATTTCAAAAATATTAATAACATTTTCTATAGTATAATATCCATTACAATTTTTATTTGGAACTTTGATTCATGATAAAATTTGAGTATCAATTTTTTTGTTTTATTTATCAACACATGCAAGAAATGCATATTTTATTAAGTTATATTTATTAAGTAAGCAAATATTTGTAAACTCATTTTTGTGTCTATCAGTTATCAATATCAACTAAAATAAATGCATATTTTATTGTAAAATATTGGCTATATATCGAAGTACATACTATTTTTTATTTTATAGGTATGTTTGTAACAATCAGAGGTATTGACACTCTTGGCCTTGACTTTTCGCTTCCCACATGCCCTGGATTTTTCAACATTTTTCATCCATATGATCCTGTGGCTTATCGAGTTGAAGCTCTAATAAATCCTTCATTGAAAAATGTACGACCTGTATTGATTCCACATCATAAAGGCAGAAAAAGAATGCACTTAGAATTGAAAGAAACTATGTCTAGAGTTGGTGCTGATTTAAAGAATCGGCTGATGGATTCTGTTAAAAATACATGGAATTCGGTGTATCAGATAGCAATGTTCAAGGGCACACAGACCTTAGATGATGTAGTAGATAAAGTAAGTAGTATTTAGCTATGAAAAAATTTGGTGAAAAACTTGATTTTCTGATTTCAACTCACCAAGAAGTAATATTGCAAATGTGTCCAATGGATTATTATTGTTACTGGCTTCAATTATTCATTTACATAAGTTTTAAATACCTAAAGCATAAAAGATATGGGCGCAATACAATACGAAATGAGCCCCATCGTGGTTCTTAAATAATTTCATTCGAAAGCTCTTTTCTAAATAAATTGACATAACAATTACCAACTTCCCACCTCATCACTATCAGAATGCGCCCATTCTCTTTGAGATTTACGATTAGAAACTACATTAAAATAATTTAAAAATTTAAATAAAACATTTTATTGTATAAATTTTTTAGAGAGAGAGAATGAGGCAGTAATATGCAAATTATAAAACTTACAATTATTTTTTTAAAATTTAATCATTTTTTTCAGGCTTTGAGGCAAGAATTGCAAATGAAATATTCTTCTACTTCATCTTTGGACTCTGATGGCGAAAACAAGGCTGACGAAAACTTAGACGAAACGAGCTTACCTCTTGGAAAGCTGAATCAAGGTCGAAGAGTAGATTATGTACTCCAAGAGGCTCCACTGGAATTTTTCAATGAGTATATATTTGCGCTCACAAGCCATGTGTGTTACTGGTATGTTTATTGTCATTAATATGTTAAAATTATTATTGGTAGATATTTTTGTTGTATATAGAGATCATTGTAATTTTTTTAATTAATAATATATATTTTAGGGAATCGGAAGACACTATGTTAATAATCATTAAAGAAATTTATTCCTCTTTGGGAGCAACTACAGATAGTCAGATTCCGCAGCAAACAATGACCATTGAAAGGCCAGTATACGTACAAAATGATGTTGTTCAGCAACAAAACCCAGTGGAATCATGTTCCACAAGTTTTAGTCCAAGGCAAGAAATGTCTAGCGCAGGATTCAGTAAATAAAAACTGATAATTGTTTTTATTAATAAATATATTTAAATGTACATACCGAAATTTTACATTACTGTTAATATTATCATAAATATTTAACTGGTTATTGTATCATAGCAGCTAGTTGCTATTAGTATAGAAAAGCTTTATATTTAATGTTAACAAAACAATATCTATTTAATGGATGCTTCAATTAATTATAAGAATTTTACAGGTAATTTTAATGATATGTTGAATAACTGTTTTAACAGATAATTTAATAGATTTATTAAGAAAATTAATGTAATAAATATGAATTAAAAAGTGGTTGATCTTTCTAACATTATTTGTTGTTTTGAAAATTTAAGGCAAAAAATGTTATAATTCAGTTCCTTTATTATTTTTACCTTTCATCATTTCTCTGCAATATCTCATTTCCTTCAATTACTATTTTTCGAAGTAGCTTTGAATTATGATAGACAAAAATTGCTTAAGGTACGTATTAGTCAAATTTTATTTCTTTGGAAAAATTGTCAATCCTTGATAATGAAGTCAATTTAAAATTTGCAAAATGACAATGAAAATGGTTTTGGGTATCTGTTGCAAGTGTTAAAGCTATTACTGTTTGAATATAAGTATTTTTATTTGTTATTATGTTTATAGTTATAGGAACCTGACTGAGAATAATAATGTTTCAATATAGCCAATTCAAATAACAATTAACCAATTGACGGGCTGGAGTACTTTGTGATACTCAACTATCGGGCGTATTAAATCAATTATAATCGAAAAAAAATGTTTACTTTAATACTTTCATACATTGACTTGTTTATATTAGTTCATTTTTTAAAACGACAAATGTCTGCTATAAATAATTATTTTGATTGAAGATATTGTGCTATAAATATCTATACAATTGTCAACTCATATGTAATTTTACTACACAGGTTTATATTTTTTTTTTACTTAAAATCTAAATTAGTTTCGATTAGTTCCGATCAGCAGATAATTTTCATAGGATTTTCATGATTACATTTTCAAATAATTAAAATGGATTCTAATTTGACAAGTGAAATGTCAAAGTGAATCGCGCCGTATTTTGCAGTCTTCACGTGTCATTTAGCGTCGCAACTGGGGTTGGTCCACGTGCACAGGCTTGTCAATAAGGTTTTGGAAATAACAAATTTCTAACCCAATAATAAAATATCCACATTACCCAAAATTCTTTGAGCATTTTACATCTAAACATGTTTCTATCACATAGTTGTATAAAATCGAAATAATTAAATTTAGACGCTAAAAATTTTTTATATCGTTAGTGTTGTTAGTGTGTTATTGAAACGTAACGTCAAATCCATTTGCACAAATAAATTTCAATATATTTGTGATAAAGTGATAACCAGTGGTGAACAATGTGAAACAGTGATGAACAGTTTAGTAACATCAAATTGTAGTAATAAATAAATTTTACTAATTACTTATTCTTCGTGAACTTGAAGTGGACTAGGGACCAATATATAACACACGATGGTATGTTTCAGTAGATCTAAGGCCTGTTATATTTATACTTATTATCAAAATGCATTTTAAATTGCGTAGTTTTATTATCAAATATAAAATATTTATAAGTGCCTTTTAATTAGAGGCAGAAGTTTGTTTTCTTCAGAAAATCCGAGTCGTTGTTATTAACATGTTTTCAAGTCGTTCTGACTCATTTATTTAGGATCAAAATTTGAAAAAGTATGGGTGTGTATATATATGAACCAAAAGGGTATGGGCTTGTTTCCACATAGAATTGGCCCCACCCTGGTATCTAAATGATTTTGATGCCATTTTATAGGTATTTTCGAGAAAATTCGAAATACCAAATTTCAAATCCGTAGCTCATCATTTGGCCGAGATATCATTGAAAATATGGCCCCTTTTTTCAAAGTCGTTTTTTGTCGCAACTTGTAAAAGACACGACAAACAAATTACGCAATTTTATTCACATTGGTGTGTACTATATTATTAATAACAAATATTGTCTAATAATTATTTTTAGTGCATGAAAAGGAGGAAATATTTTTTTGTTTTGAATTTTCGGGTAGTGCGCTTGTTTGTACTAATTTTTAATTAGCATCATTAGAAAGGCTATTCAATTTTCTTTTGTTGTCCAAAATTTTGTTTTATTTAATGTGGTAGAACACATTCAAAAGTAGAAAAAACCTGAGCAAGTGCGCGTTCGCGCTCATATAACACCCTTGTAAGTCGTCTCTCATTTGAAACGACAATATTTCTTTGTTAAACATTTTTAATGAAACACAAGATATATACACTTTTATTTTGAATAATTATATATTTATATGTATACGTATAATAATAATTATATTTATGTGTAATTAAGTATATATTATTTATATATTGCACAAGTATATTATATGATTAATATTTTATACAATTATCACTAAATAAATAAAAAATGATCGATAAAAAATAAACATAATAATTGTATATCGGCATATGATTTATTCATGCTACAGCAATGTATAAGAATGCAAGTATAAGTCTTTTATTAAATATTTTAAATAATATCTTGAAGTTTTTTTAAGTTAAATTATTTATAAAAATATATTGAATAAAATATTTCTACCTATAAATACTCATAATAATTGTTGAACTATCATACTATTGTGCATCATCCTTAATTAAAACAATATTTGAAATATTTTTGTTAGAAATCGTTTTAATTTTTGGCAAAGATCTTCCCGGCAGTATTCTTTTCAATCATTAAATATTTGTTCTCGTAGTTTCAACAACACTCTTTATATTATATTTTTGTTTTATATTTTTATATTATATTATATTTTTATATTATATTATATTTTTATATTAATAATTGGAATTGCGGCTTGCGCTTTTAGAACATTTATCTTGTATGCGTTAGACGCGTGTTAATTTTTTGTTCAATAAAATATAATATATACTTAAATTGGCAAATTTGTACAAAATTAAATAATCAGCAATTTTAACATTATAGGCACTCGGTATGCTTATAAATTACTCATAAGTTACTATATTGATTTCTTGTTATTAAAGTTAATTATTTATACAAATGAGAATTTGTGGAACTTGTCTTAAGGCAAGTTGACACTTATATCTATTAAGAATATTTTAATAAATTTATTATAACTTCAAATATAATAGTTATATCTTCAAAGTAAATTAAAAACTAGTGGTGTATGGCATTGTGCCTTAAAGCAAATTGCTGGTACTTCCCGTACCTTAATAAACTATTCGAGGAATATTAAATGTTTTCAAATAGATTATTATAAATAATGTAACTTTCATCATTCTTATTTTATAAAAAGTAAATAAACAAAACTTAATCAATTCGATTTAAAATGAACAACATTGTGTAATGTTTCTAAGTATCATATAAACTGAATTGCAAAGTTAAAATTATTTATTTGAAAAATATAAATGATGTTTAGAATTTTACCTAGAATTACAATTAAAATCCGAATTATTTTTCGATATTCAAAAAAAAATTTTGTTGAAAATTAAAAAAAAATTTCTCAAAAGTTTTCGTTTTGTCAACACAAGCAGAGTTTTTTTTAAATAATTCAAATCGAATACTCCGTTCTTGGAAAACTGATATTTTTAGCACTTTTTGCTCCATATCTCAGAAACCGCTGGACCTGTCTTCGTCAAAAAGTAATCAGCACGCCTCCTCATCAATAGGATTCGAATGTTTTTTTAATAATTCAAATCGTACGTTTGAAATCGTCGACGAAAAATTATCTTCACACATACACGCACACACATCCAACTTTTGTGAGATGTGCCAAAATGTTCAGAAACACTGAGACGTGAAGATACGCAAAATTTTCATTATCGGTTTTTGGCCCATTACTATAACTTATCCTACAGGAAGTTAAAAACACTGTGCACAAAATAAGAATTGCAGTATGTAATATACTGTAATAAAAATATATCTTTGTTATAATAAATAGATATTGATATTGATATTCGATTTTTTTTTATAAAAAAGTTAATGAATTCTGCATTGAATTTTTTTTTAATTTGATTTACATCATTTTGCCATTACATTTATCTATACAGTTGTAGCAGTTCTGTATAATATATTGGTACTTATGCATAATGATTAAAATTAAAATTTATTTTAATTTTTGTGATAAACTGCGCTGCGCCCGACATTTTCGAATCTAAATTGTAAGTTAAGGGGTTAAAAACTTCAATAGTTTTATTACTTAAAAATAACAACACATAACTAATAATTCAACATAAAATCTAAAAGAGAGAGAATTATTCCTCGTAGGCAAAAGAAGTTTACATGAAGTGACTTCACATTATATAATATTTAAATATTATTTTCGATGCACCTACCGATCATGAATTTCTTTTATGTATATATATAACACTGCACATAATTGATATTATTATGCATAGAAAAACTGTTCAGCTTGACAATTAACCTACGAAAGCAAGAATCTCATGAGTAAACAAAATAAACCGGATTTTTATCTGTTACTTTTGATGATGATCAGTCACCGATTTTCTAGTTTTGTGATAAAATCATCTTAGATCTAGGTTATATCATGGCATAGATATGTTTTTTTTTTAAAGTTTGTTTGTGTATTTTCTATATGAAACTATTGCTGTTTTGAGCGTTTTACTATTTAACAGTAAAGTGTCTTATTCACATTTAATAATTTAAATAATGAATTAATATATATATTACACATTTATTTATTATATGATGTATTAAAGTTTATTTATGAACATAAAAAGTTGTGGAAAAACAAAACAAACATAATAGAGTAAAATGTTTAAGAATCAATTTTGTATCAACTTTTTATTTATTTTTCATGGGGCAAAAAGTGAATAGCTTGCTTTTTTTTATTTTTTTACATTTTTTATTTAATTATGTGCAAAATTTGTTGTTTTCATATCGGTTGCCTTACAATAACAAAATTAGAAGATACAGTTTGCTGGTATAATGTATACTAGGAAGAAAGGTTTCAATACTTCAAAATGGCTTTGGGTACATTATCATTTTCAAATTCAAATTTCAAATCAAATTAAAATTATTACATTTG